GTTTCCGCCAGGGCCCCAAAACGGCCCCGGGCCCCGTTTCCGCCCTTTGGGCACGCGGGTGCTTTTGGGCCCCAGTGTGACCGGGGGCCCCGTACGGCCTTTCCCCTTGCTTTCCCTCTCCTGTGCCCCTTTGAGGTTCCCCCACCTGCGGGTTTTTTCCCTTTTGTCAAGGGGTTTCTGGCAAAATTACGGCCTCCCCTAGGTGCCGCCCCCGGCCCCCCCCTCGGCCATGGGCCCCCCTAGCCTGGGGCACGTGCTGCTGGGCCCCCAGTGTGCCTGGGGCCCTGTACGGCTCCCAAAGGGTTCCCCCTCTCCATGTTTCCCCTTTGAGGTCTCCTTACACTCCTGCGGGTTTTTTCCCTTTTGTCCCTGGTTGCTGGCAGGGTTTTTTTAAAGGCCCCCCATAGGTGCCGCCAGGCCCCCCAAACGGGCCCCTGGGCCCCCGTTTTTCCTGGTCACCCTGCTGCTGGGCCCACCCGTGTGACCTGGGGGCCCTGTACGCTGCTGCTGAGCCCACAGTGTGAACCTGGGTCCCTGTACGGCCTCCCATTGCTGCTGCCAGGAGGCAGCAGGGTCGCAGCAGTGTCAGTGGAGGCAAACGGCCACGGAGAGTAGAGCACCAGCTCCACTGCAGCCTACCACCACGGCCAGTAGTGGTGCCGGGGTGTGCACGGAGGGAAGTAGCAGTCAGCCAGGTGAGGAGTAGCGGGCTAATGCCAAAGTTTCCTACTCGTGGTGTGGCAAGTTTTCGTCAAGCCGCCCAAGGAAGTAAACGTAGCCGTATGTCGACTATGTGGCCAGAAAGTCAAGCGTGACCAGGGGGCCCATGTTGGGACGTCGCCATTCGGTGGCCTGGGAAAACCGTGATAATGATACGGCGGTTCTGCCTGCCCCAGCCCAGGGTTCCATTTTGTCATAGGGGTGCTGGCAGATTACGGGCCTCCCATAGGTGCCGCCAGGCCCCAAATCGGCCATGGGCCCCGTACCGCCTGTCACGCTGCTGCTGGGCCCACAGTGTGACCTGGGTCCCTGTACGGCCTCCCATTGCTCCCACTCTACCATGTGCCACTTTGAGGTCTCCTCACACTCCTGCGGTTTTTCCATTTTGTCATAGGTTGCTGGCAGATTACAGGCCTCCCATAGGTGCCGCCAGGCCCAAATCGGCCATGGGCCCCCGTACCGCCTGGTCACGCTGCTGCTGGTCCCACAGTGTGACCTGGGTCCCTGTACGGCCTCCCATTGCTCCCACTCTACCATGTGCCACTTTGAGGTCTCCTCACACTCCTGCGTTTCCATTTTGTCATAGGTTGCTGGCAGATTACAGGCCTCCCATAGGTGCCGCCAGGCCCCAAATCGGCCATGGGCCCCCGTACCGCCTGGTCACGCTGCTGCTGGTCCCACAGTGTGACCTGGGTCCCTGTACCGCCTCCCATTGCTCCCACTCTGCCATGTGCCACTTTGAGGTCTCCTCACACTCCTGCGGTTTTCCATTTTGTCATAGGTTGCTGGCAGATTACAGGCCTCCCATAGGTGCCGCCAGGCCCCCAAATCGGCCATGGGCCCCCGTACCGCCTGGTCACGCTGCTGCTGGTCCCCACAGTGTGACCTGGGTCCCTGTACCGCCTCCCATTGCTCCCACTCTACCATGTGCCACTTTGAGGTCTCCTCACACACCTGCGGTTTTCCATTTTGTCATAGGTTGCTGGCAGATTACAGGCCTCCCATAGGTGCCGCCAGGCCCCAAATCGGCCATGGGCCCCCGTACCGCCTGGTCACGCTGCTGCTGGTCCCACAGTGTGACTGGGTCCCTGTACCGCCTCCCATTGCTCCCACTCTGCCATGTGCCACTTTGAGGTCTCCTTACACTGCTGGTGTGTTCAATTTTTTGACATAGGGTGCTGGCAGATTACGGGCCTCCCATTGCTGCTGCCAGGCACGTAATCTGCCATGGGCCCCCATACCGACTCCTCATGCTGTGACGTTGCAACAAGGTGGAATTCAACCCTACCTATCTTAGACCGCCTTTTACGAACAGCGAAAGGCCATCACAGATTTCCTGATGTTAAAAGCGGATAAAGGTACTCCCTGTGTAACTTCGATGTCAGCCATTGGCAGCTCATGCGTGACACCTGCGCTTGCTCAGGCCCTTCGAGGAGGCCACGCTATTCGTGAGTCGGCAGGACTATGGGATGAACGAGGTCAAATCTGCCATGGGCCCCCGTACCGCCTGGTCACGCTGCTGCTGGTCCCACAGTGTGACCTGGGTCCCTGTACCGCCTCCCATTGCTCCACTCTGCCATGTGCCACTTTGAGGTCTCCTCACACTCCTGCGGTTTTCCATTTTGTCATAGGTTGCTGGCAGATTAGCGGCCTCCCATAGGTGCTGCCAGGCCCCAAATCTGCCATGGGCCCCCGTACCGCCTGGTCACGCTGCTGCTGGGCCCACAGTGTGACCTGGGTCCCTGTACCGCCTCCCATTGCTCCCACTCTGCCATGTGCCACTTTGAGGTCTCCTCACACTCCTGCGGTTTTCCATTTTGTCATAGGTTGCTGGCAGATTACAGGCCTCCCATAGGTGCCGCCAGGCCCCAAATCGGCCATGGGCCCCCGTACCGCCTGGTCACGCTGCTGCTGGTCCCACAGTGTGACCTGGGTCCCTGTACGGCCTCCCATTGCTCCCACTCTACCATGTGCCACTTTGAGGTCTCCTCACACTCCTGCGGTTTTCCATTTTGTCATAGGTTGCTGGCAGATTACAGGCCTCCCATAGGTGCCGCCAGGCCCCAAATCGGCCATGGGCCCCCGTACCGCCTGGTCACGCTGCTGCTGGTCCCACAGTGTGACCTGGGTCCCTGTACGGCCTCCCATTGCTCCCACTCTACCATGTGCCACTTTGAGGTCTCCTCACACTCCTGCGGTTTTCCATTTTGTCATAGGTTGCTGGCAGATTACAGGCCTCCCATAGGTGCCGCCAGGCCCCAAATCGGCCATGGGCCCCCGTATCGCCTGGTCACGCTGCTGCTGGTCCCACAGTGTGACCTGGGTCCCTGTACGGCCTCCCATTGCTCCCACTCTGCCATATGCCACTTTGAGGTCTCCTCACACTCCTGCGGTTTTCCATTTTGTCATAGGTTGCTGGCAGATTACAGGCCTCCCATAGGTGCCGCCAGGCCCCAAATCGACCATGGGCCCCCGTACCGCCTGGTCACGCTGCTGCTGAGCCCACAGTGTGACCTGGGTCCCTGTACGGCCTCCCATTGCTGCTGCCAGGAGGCAGCAGGGTCGCAGCAGTGTCAGTGGAGGCAAACGGCCACGGAGTAGAGCACCAGCTCCACTGCAGCCTACCACCACGGCCAGTAGTAGTGGTGCCGGTGTGCACGGAGGAAGTAGCAGTCAGCCAGTGAGGAGTAGCGGGTGCAAAGTTTCCTACTCGGTGGTGTGGCAAGTTTTCGTCAAGCCGCCCAAGGAAGTAAACGTAGCCGTATGTCGACTATGTGGCCAGAAAGTCAAGCGTGACCAGGGGGCCCATGTTGGGACTACAGCGTTGCGTCAGCATATGCAGCGTCGCCATTCGGTGGCCTGGGAAAACCGTGATAAAGATACGGCGGTTCTGCCTGCCCCAGCCCAGGGTTCCATTTTGTCATAGGGTGCTGGCAGATTACGGGCCTCCCATAGGTGCCGCCAGGCCCCAAATCGGCCATGGGCCCCCGTACCGCCTGGTCACGCTGCTGCTGGGCCCACAGTGTGACCTGGGTCCCTGTACGGCCTCCCATTGCTTCCACTCTGCCATGTGCCACTTTGAGGTCTCCTCACACTCCTGCGGTTTTCCATTTTGTCATAGGTTGCTGGCAGATTACAGGCCTTCCATAGGTGCCGCCAGGCCCCAAATCGGCCATGGGCCCCCGTACCGCCTGGTCACGCTGCTGCTGGTCCCACAGTGTGACCTGGGTCCCTGTACGGCCTCCCATTGCTTCCACTCTGCCATGTGCCACTTTGAGGTCTCCTCACACTCCTGCGGTTTTCCATTTTGTCATAGGTTGCTGGCAGATTACAGGCCACCCATAGGTGCCGCCAGGCCCCAAATCGGCCATGGGCCCCCGTACCGCCTGGTCACGCTGCTGCTGAGCCCACAGTGTGACCTGGGTCCCTGTACCGCCTCCCATTGCTCCCACTCTGCCATGTGCCACTTTGAGGTCTCCTCACACTGCTGGTGTGTTCAATTTTTTGACATAGGGTGCTGGCAGATTACGGGCCTCCCATTGCTGCTGCCAGGCACGTAATCTGCCATGGGCCCCCGTACCGACTCCTCATGCTGTGACGTTGCAACAAGGTGGAATTCAACACTACATATCTTAGACCGCCTTTACGAACAGCGAAAGGCCATCACAGATTTCCTGATGTTAAAAGCGGATAAAGGTACTCCCTGTGTAACTTCGATGTCAGCCATTAGCAGCTCATGCGTGACACCTGCGCTTGCTCAGGCCCTTTGAGGAGGCCACGCTATTCGTGAGTCGGCAGGACTATGGGATGAACGAGGTCAAATCAGCCATGGGCCCCCGTACCGCCTGGTCATGCTGATGCTGGTCCCACAGTGTGACCTGGGTCCCTGTACCGCCTCCCATTGCTCCCACTCTGCCATGTGCCACTTTGAGGTCTCCTCACACTCCTGCGGTTTTCCATTTTGTGCATAGGTTGCTGGCAGGTTACAGGCCTCCCATAGGTGCTGCCAGCCCCAAATCTGCCATGGGCCCCCGTACCGCCTGGTCACGCTGCTGCTGGGCCCACAGTGTGACCTGGGTCCCTGTACCGCCTCCCATTGCTCCCACTCTGCCATGTGCCACTTTCAGGTCTCCTCACACTCCTGCTGGTTTCCATTTTGTCATAGGTTGCTGTATGCCTCCCATTGCTGCTGCCTCCACCGCCACACTGTGGCTCCAAACACTGGTTTTTTGGCCCCGTGACTGGCCAAATGAGTGAAAATGTGCGGTGATTCTAAGATCGACGGCACTCATCTGCATGTCATACTGACTGACAGTATTATTTCTCTTCCCCAGCAGACTCCAAGGGCATTTAAATTAAAGGTACAGTGTTCTGCACTAATATTAAGTCTCTCTGAAGCCTAGAAACACCCTTTTTTAAGTTAAATTCACAGCGAATATATTCGACTCGAATCGAATATTGTCCACGAATTCGCCGAATCAGTCGAATCGAATTTTTGAATACTTCGCTCATCTCTAATTATGATGATGAGTGAGAGGATAAGATAGAAGATGAGTGGGGGGATATGATGGAAGATGATGATCAAGTGGATATGATGGAAGATGATGAGTAAGGTAACAAGAAAGAAGATGATGAGTGAGGGGATGGAAAAAGTAGGAGATAATCAGTGATCACATTAGAATGGGAGAGGACCAGTGAAGGGATGATGAGTAAGGTGACAAGATGATAAATGAGGAGATAAGGTGGAAGAGATTGAGTGATGACACCGTTGGAGTCAATGGTGTGGAGGTACCTGGAAAACATAGGCCTTTGGCTGGGAAATTGTTTGGTATTGCCCCACAAAGCAGTCGCACAAATAAAAACATTTTATCATTTGTCTGGAGACACTCAAATATCAATCCATTTTATTCTAGGATACAACACTACAAAATGTAGAAAAACCCAAGAGTGGGGTGGTGAGTACTTATACAAAGCTCTGTAGGCAGGCTATAAAAAAGGTTGTACAAGATGGAATCAAAACATTTCTAGTTTTGTAACACACCAACAAGTGTCAGCACAAGGCTGCACGGACAGTCACAGGGAGCACCAACCTTCATAAGTCAGTCTGCCAAAAGACATCGTCATGTGTACATCGGGAGCTGTGCTACTGGTGCTATTCTGATGACGTGCATTACCACATCTGCTATTTCATCATGGACAGCAAGTTAGAACAAAGAGCAAATGTGAAATTTGAAAAGCAGTCTGGCAATGTTTATGAACAACATTGCTCAAAAGAAACAATTTTCATTTTGTATTTGTTTATTCATCTACAGATCAATGGGATGAACTTCGATGTGCAGATGAAGTCAGTTAAAGCAACCTGACAAGTAAAATAAGTTTTTTTTTTTTAAATTAACCTCCCTAGCGGTATGATTCTTTCCGATTTTTGGTGCTGAAAGCGGTACCATTATTTTGCATGGAAAATATGTAGTTTTTTTATTGTAGGCTGTAATTTTTAGGAATAACTCACTGAAATCTGTCTGAACAAGATTCTAAATCATACATTTAATTCAATAATATAATCAAACCAAACACTGAAATTTGAAATATAGCGCCAAGTTCGCACATCGCTGAGCAAAGTCGCAAAATTGTTTTCAGTGTCTGATGACAAATTTCTCCACGAATCATCACTCAATTCTGCAAGTGGTCCTGATTTATTATCGCTGTTCTCTAGCTGATCTAAACCCGCTTTTGACCTAAAGGGACACTTTTTGAACGCCATGGACTTTTCTACGTTTCCAGGCACAAAGAACAATCAAAATGCAGACAGGGGACAGGACAAAGCACTAGGGACAAAATGTATGTGAAATGGGTTGAAACAGCAATGTTTTACTATGTAGAATCGTTTTGAAAACAATGACATTTTTATAAATTTTCAAATTTCCCACCGCCGGCGGCGCCCGTACGTCCCGACGTCACGGGAACGACCGGAACACAGGAGCCGGATGCCGGCATCAGACGGAGGAGATGGCCGGGGACGCTGCAGGGGACACATCGCGGGAGCCAAGGACAAGGTAAGTGCTGCAGGGACTCCCTATGCAGTGCTGCATGGTAAGCCCGAGTGTAGCTCGGGGTTACCGCTTTTGGTATAGACATTTTACCCCGAGCTACACTTGGGAATACCGTTAGGGAGGTTAAACAGTCCTCTGTTTAACCCCTTATTTTACTCTAATCAACCCTTATTAACTCCTTATTCTCCTTCTCCACTGAATTACTATTTTAGTGCTGATCTTTTTTTTAGTTGCTATTTTATTACCTAATAATATTTCAACTTTTTTTGTATTTGTTTGTGTTGTTCACTAATATTTTTACACCTTTAACATATATTTACAAATTTCACATTTAAGAAAATGCCAAATACAAAGAAAAACATTTTTTATGTACATTAACACTATTTATGTTAAACTAACACTGATCAAAATAAGAAAAAGTGTGTTTTGTTGCATTTTGTTACATTTAATTGTTTAACCACTTGCCCTCCAGAGGATTTACCCCCCTTCCTGACCAGGCCATTTTTTGCGATACAGCGCTGCATTACTTTAACCTCACTAGCGGTCTGATTATGTCCATATTTCTGTGCTGAAAGTGGTACATTTTTTTGCATGGAAATATGTACTTTTTTTATTGTAGGCCTGTAATTTTTAGGAATAACTCACTGAAATCTGTCCGAACAAGAGTCTATTAAACATCCCGGGTATGTTACAATTTGAAACACGAAATCATAAATTATAATTTAATAAATAATCATAAAAAATAATAATATATAATAATACATTTAATTCAATAATATAATCAAACCAAAAACACTGAAATTTGAAATAGAGCGCCAAGTTCGCACATCACCGAGCTTAGTCGCAAAATCGTTTTCAGTGTCTGATGACAAATTTCCCCACTAATCATTATCACTCAATTCTGCAAGTGGTTCTGATTTACTATCGCTGTTCTCTAGCTGGTCTAAAACCGCTTTTGACCTAAAGGGACTCTTTTTGGACGCCATGGACATTTCTCAGTTTCCAGGCAGAAAGAACAGTAAAAATGCAGGCAGGGCGCAGGACAAAGCACTCGGGACAAAATGTATGTGAAATGGTTTGATACAGTAATGTTTTACTATGTGATTTTAGTGTATTTTGTGAATGTCACTTTTTAAAATTTTTAAATTTCCCGCCGTTCCATCCCCCGTACGTCCCGTACGTCCTGACGCTCGCAGGGGACGGAACCAGGAAGATGGATACCGGCATCGGCCGGAGGAGATGGACGGGGACGCTGCAGGGGACACATCGCAGGAGCGCAGGACAAGGTAAGTGAAACTGGGAATCCCTGAGCAACGCTGCATGGTAATCCCGAGTGTAGCTCGGGGTTACCGCTTTTGGCACTGCAAATTAACCCCGAGCTACACTCGGGAATACCGCCAGGGGGGTTAACTGACAATTGCAAGGACATGCAATGCTGTAAATAAATTAAATTTATGTCCTTTTTTCCCATAAATAGGTTTCTTTCGGTGGTATTTGATCACCTGTGCATTTTTTATTTTTAGTGCTGTAAACAAAAAAAGACCGACAATTTTGAAAAAAAAAAACCCAATATTTTTGACTTTTGGTATAAAAGTTCACCAATGCCAGAAGTCTGCCAAGCAAAATAGGTGAGTTGGAAGCTTTGTTGCATTAAGAGAACTAGGACTTAATTGGTATTGCTGAATCTTGGCTTCATTCTTTGCATGACTGGGCCATTAATATTCCTGGCTATGTTCTCTTTGGGAGAGACAGGGTAAATAGGAAAGGTGGCGGTGTCTGTCTTTATGTGAGAAGTGATCTCAGAGTGAGTGTGAAAGAGGAACTAGTTGATGGAGAGTGTGATGAGGCTGAAGTATTATGGGTGGAACTGCACATAAGGATGTGTACTACAAAGGTCATCATTGGAGTTTGTTATAGGTCTCCCAGTGTTAATGAGGTGATGGAGACTCAGCTCCTTGCACAGATCGAAAGGGCTGCAAGGGCTGGGACAGTGATAATAAAGGGGGATTTTAACTACCCAGAAATTGACTGGAGTAATGGTACTGCAGGAACAGTTAAAGGGCAAACATTTTTAAACCTACTACAGGACAATTTTATGGTACAGTTCA